ACGTGCTTGGAACCCACGACAGATTACCTCTGTGCGGTTCGTCGACAGCGGAAACCCGATCAAACCCCCATTTCAGCGTGGTCTAAGTGGCAGATATTTCAGGATGGGAGAGGGATAAAATCGCACCTACGAGAACACACATTATGAAGATACGGAGAGGAGCAGACCCACGTACAGCCCCCGAAGCCTTCGACTGGGTAGGGAACAGGAGAGAGCAAGTTCTGTTGAGGGACTTCGATACGAGAGTTCTGATTGGTTAGCCGGGGATGGCTTTATGTTAGAATGACGGTATTTGAATACGCCACATTTTATAAGCATACCACAGCCTGATGGCTTGCCGTGACCGCAGGCCCACAGAAAGAGGGCCCTGGCTGCCCTAGATTTGGGTACTCCATTCTTTCTAATTCACAAAAGCTCCACCCCAAGTACATGGCTTCCAGCACTCTTTGGCAGGAATTTTTTCTTCAATCACTTTCCATTGTCGAGATTCCTTATTCAACTTAATCTGTATCTTGGCTTTATAAGTAAGCATTAGACTAGAGACATCTTCGTCGGAGATTGATAGGTGAAATTCACGTATAGTTGGATAGTGAACATTGGCAAGGATATGTACTGGGGTGTCCTTGGGAACCTGCAACGGACATCGCGCAACAAAGGCAAAGAAGTACAAGCCAACGTGACGCAATCATAGCTAGGCTCTCAGGGCTGACGGGCTTCCGACCGTCGAGACATCCTCTCCAGCCTTCTCTATTCGCTGGAGAGCAACGTAATATGGCCGATTCGTGTAATTGATAAAGGTGTTCTTATTCCAAGAAAGCTGGGCATCGGGGTCAGCATCGGATATCTACAAGAAGCGACTGTTAGTCAACGTAAATCTCCATAAACATGAGCACTCCACACAAACCTCAAATCGTAGCATTAGTGCGGCCAACAGTTTCTTCATTTCTGCAATGCCGATATGCTGGCCGATGCAGTTTCGCTTCCCATTTCCAAACCAGAGGCCACAGCGTTCCATCTGTATTCGCTGCTCATGAGTTGCTTCAATCCAGCGCTCTGGCCGGAAGGTATCTGCATCATGGCCGTAGACACTCTGATCAGTGTGGATTACCCTGAGCAGGCACCCAACCTCTGTTCCGCCGGGAATGAAATATCCCGACAATTCCATACCCTGACTTGGAACAATACGTTCTAAGTTCAATGCTATTGAAGGAAGACACCGGAGGCCTTCCTTTGTGACAGCGTCAAGGTACGCCAATTTGGAGAGTTCCCTCAAGGTGGGCATGTACGACAACTCACCAGCGCGATGTGCATGGTGAAGTTCTTGTTTCAGACGGTTTAGGGCGTTCCTGTGCTTCAGTAAGTGGTATATTGTCGTGATGAGAGTCGAATTCACCGTTTCCGGGCCAGCTATCACAATACTCGTTATCATGCTCAGGAGGCGCTCCCATGCCATTAAATCTGGTCGCTCCTTTTGGGCTGTGATGAACGTGTCCAACATGTCATGCTTTTTCACCGTAGGTAGACTGCGTTGTTCGTTCTGTCGTGCCCTCAGTAAGTCCAAGGCCATGGACACCAGTCGCCAGCTTGGACCAAAAAGCCAGCTAAGCGCCTGTGCCGTATATGGGACAACGGTAGTGAGAGGAAGAAAGCCGGTGGCGAGCCTGGTAAGAAATCGCAGAACGGGCTGTACGCCGTCTACCATCTCATCGGCATGTTTCATGTAGTGTGGCGGAGTTGAAAAGGCCATTAGAGAAGTGATGTCATGGGAAAAGTACTCTATCCACTTGGTCAGGTCAAATTGGTCAAGCTCTTCAAGCTGCCGCATCAGCTCTAAGGTGCACTCGTCAAGTTGAGGCTCGTATCTCGAGACGGCGCTGATACTGAATGAGTTTACGACTGCTCTCTTCAAAGCAGTGTGCTCGTCCTCATCTAAGATTGACTCTATTCCAGTTACGTCTTTGCCCCGATACCAGCTGCTGAAAACCTTGTATATGGATCCCTAGGGAAGTATTAACCACGGCTCTATTTTGCCGGTTTGTACATTCGACGACTGGGAAATACCTTGCGAAGAACTGGATTAGTTCCGTACACCTTTGGCACGTTGGTCGCATCTGCCACGCTCAGGCTATTCGGGCCAATCCTGATGATGGGGCCATGTGTTTTGTGCCACTTTGTAACAACCTCTTGAAAGTCTCCTTTCCAGTATCGGTATACTCGCCACCACCCTGTGAAAGCGGCGATGAATGGCCCAGGAAATGCGGACAATCTCAGATAGACATGAACACTGCGGGTAATGATAACGGCGCAAGCCGATACAATGATTGCGAGAAACATGACTTTCGCCGGGAGGGCCAGGGTACAGATATAGATGTGTACACTGTGGGAGTTTGCTGCAGCGGGTGCAAGTTCACAAATTAAGAGTGTCTATATCTGGACTGACAAAATATAACGGGGTCAGTTAGACATGTAGTACTTTCAAAAACAACCCGGAGATTACCTACGCTCCGTCTCATCTTCCTCCCCCAGGCACAGTACAGCTGACGAAATTCGAATTTGGAACCACATCACAAACGTAAACGCAGATACCGCGGTGTGACAAATATAACGCAGTTTCGGGCCAGCGGAGATGATCTGATCTGTTACACCACACCTGCAATGGCAGTCGGACGATCACACTACCTGATAATGTGACTTGCCTGTAGGTGTAAGCTAATACAGCTGGGCGCCAGCCAGCCACAACACAACAGTAGGGATGTTGTAATTTGAATTCCTGAAAGCTATTACAGTGATATTACAATCGCACTCCGAAAGCATTATTACAGATACACCACATCACATGGTAATACTGGATACCAGTAATACGCTTCCAATAGCTGAAACCAATCATAGACATAGCTTAATATTACTACCTCTGGCCACTATTACCAAGAAATAGTATCTGAGGCCACCTGGCGTTTGGTGGAGGAGAAATAGTCGCTAAGATCTTCTATATTGCTTTTTTCCTGACCGCTGACACAGTAAGTGACAGCTCAATTTATACAGTAGATAAGTGTAATAAAACATTGTTCGGGCTTAGTGGTATTTACATGACGTCAAAACAAAATGGATACACATAACGGTGGCTACAGATAGATCTCGGGGAATTGTAAAAAAGTTGACGAAAGGGAATTGAGTTATTAATTCTTATAGAAACTAGTGCCTTGGATTGCTTGCAAACACTAAAATCCGTTACATGAAAGCTTGTCCAGTAACAGTCAAAATACATCTCTCCATCCCTACTCACAGGATATACAAAGTGCAGTACACATGGCTGGGAGCCGTGCATAAATCAGGCTAACCAGGTGCAGTGCATAGAATGCCTATTGTACTACCCCAGAACCTAAATATGCCCTTCACGACATCACCACCAACGTAAAGCATTGGTGCGCGTGATCATACAATCTTGAGCGGCTTCCACTGAGACCCGATGTCAGATACCGAGCCATCCGCGATGTATGTTATTACGAGGCTTCATCAGGCAAGTTTATCGAACATCACGGCCAAGACCTGCAACATCCTGCCAAAGGTACACCGCTAGTATGTATGGGGGGTGGTGAAATGTCCGATCTTGCAAAGGCCGCTGCGACCACCGGACTTGAATTTATTATGGATCCCCTCGATTATTGGGGTATCCCCGTACTCCATCCGTGAGATCTATCTGTAGCCAGAGTTTTGAGTATCCACTTTCTATTGAAGTCATACATTGATTATTAAGGCCGCCCAGGTGCCTTCTGATATATACAATGGTAAGTGAACTTTTATATAGTATACAAAGAGTCAGAGGGGGGGAAAAGGGCGATAAAGGAAGATCCCAATGACTTTTCCCTCCACCAGTGGGCCCCAGAGGTTGGTCAAAGGTTGACCAGGAGCAGTAATATAGATGCAGCATCAAACACATGAGAATAAAACTGGCATGAAAAATATGTTTCAGTCGGGCTAGCTCTTTGCGGTTTGCTATGTGGCTGACTGCGCGGTGTCAGATACAGCCACGTGACACGTGCATCGGGTCGGAGTCTCAGAACTCTTCACCTTCACCGAATGCTGGATACGGACGAGGACAACAGCTACTCGTCCTATTGACCTTCATATGCTCCGGTGAGCAAGTGCAGAACGGATGCACATCGCACAACGCATCTCATACAGGACAGAGTAAACTTTCCAATAATACCCACCCGCCTGATACCACCTACGCTGTCGAGTGGTAGTGAGCCACTAAATGACGAGCCAATTGGTACTAGAATATTGCCTAGACATACAAGAAGCGCCAGAAGTAAGGACTGCAGTGGGGAGGTATACATATCAAGCCTACGAACAAGGATATTGATTCATACGTACTAGGAGGCTTTCCCTGTTCCGAATGACATATGTCACTAGGAATCATATGCAACTTACTTCGGACTATCCATACGACTCGGAGTTGCATCAGTCCGAAGTGATATCTGCTGCAGGGAATTGCTCTGATACTATAATGTGGACACGAGAGCTGCCAATGCAGACTTGTCACGTAGTGGCTTGCTGAGTTTGTAGAAAAGCAATGATGTTCAGTTGAATATGTCGGTATACTTAGCACGATCTGCGAATATTACTTTTTTTTCGATGTCATTGCTGTATCTGTATCTGGACGCATCTGATTCTGTGTATAATCCCCAACTACTTCTCGGGCAAGAGCGGATTTGACGGGTATGCATTAGGCTGCGAAATTAATCGGCCCCTGTGGGTGATGGTTGAAATCGGACGGCCTTGAGCTGGTACAGTAAGACCCGTAGAAAGAGTTCCTTGTGTGGTAGACTAAGCATTGGTGGGGGGTGGTTTTCCTTGACTGAGATATAAAGAGATGACTGCCCTGTCATTTGGAAAGAAGAGAAACAAATACGATTCCATTCAACCACTGAAACCAAGATCTTGAATCATCTATTTTGTGAAAACACTTGTTGCCCTTTTCCGATTTACCTCCGACCAAGATGGGCAGCATTGGAACTTCTGAGACGGCCACTTCCTGCCCACTAGCCATCGTAGGGATTGGGTTGAGGCTCCCCGGTGGAGTGACGAACGACTCTGAATTTTGGGACCTGCTTGTGAACAAGCGGTGCGCTCGTAGGGAACTCCCCGCGGACCGGTACAGCATCGATGGGTTCTACAGCGAGTCGGGCAAAAGCGGATCTGTGCGGTGCAAGTATGCTTATTGCCTGGATGAAGACATTGGCAAGTTTGATGCGGAGTTCTTCAACATCTCCCCAATCGAGCTGGCCAGAATGGACCCACAGCAACGTCTACTACTGAAGGTGGTCTGGGAATGCATGGAGAGCGGAGGTCAGGTCGACTGGCAGGGCAAGGACATTGCGTGCTTTGTCGGAGTCTTTGGAGAAGACTGGTTGGATATGACCCGCAAGGACTATCAGAATTTGGGCCAGGGCCGGGTTGGTGGCACAGGTGATTTTGCCATTGCCAATCGCGTTTCTTACCACTACGACCTCACAGGGCCCAGGTACGTTCTACATATGGCTATTGTGTCGTGCCCCGTTGATGAGACCATGTTGCTGACATGAATTATTGCAACAGCTGCACAGTTCGAACAGCCTGCTCCTCATCTCTTGTCGGGCTTGATATGGCTCAACGTGCCATTGCAACAGGGGAATGCTCATCTGCCATCGTGGCAGGAACCAGCCTCCTCCTCACACCAACTTATACAATTGCCATGACTGAAGAAGGAGCACTCTCTCCAGATGGAAGGTGTAAAACGTTTGACGCCTCTGCAAATGGATACGCTCGCGGTGAGGCAATTAACGCTATCTATGTAAAGAAGCTTGAGGATGCAATTCGCGACAATGATCCCATTCGCGGTGTTATTCGGGGAACGGGGACAAACAGTGATGGGAAAACTCCAGGATTATCCACTCCCAGCGCCGAGGCCCAAGCAGCGCTCATCCGGAAAACCTATGAGCAAGCTGGAATTTCAAACCTTGCTCAGACGGGCTATATCGAGGCTCACGGAACGGGAACCGCTCTCGGAGATCGAATCGAGGCTGGGGCGATTGCCAACGTTTTTGGTGAAAAGGGGATCATTATGGGCGCGGTACTATCCATCCTTTTCTCAACAGTCTTAAGACTTGTCACTGACCGCGTTTGCTTGTAGGTGAAACCCAATCTCGGCCATTCTGAGGGTGCCTCCGGACTTACCGGCCTGATCAAAGCTGCGCTGGCTCTCGAGCACAGACAGATCCCGCCAAACATTCACTTCTCCACACCCAATCCAGGCAGTACGAGAAAACCCTCCAATAGCTCTATTTCATTTCAATCCCCGATACTGACAAGTATCCCTGTGATAATCTAGTTCCCTTTGAGGAAGCTCAACTCAGAGTGCCCACTGAAATTACTCCCTGGCCAGCAGACCGCATGGAAAGGGTCAGTGTCAACTCATTCGGTATTGGCGGCGTCAACGCGCATGTAAGACACCCGAAGGTCAGCTTAGACACTTCTGTGCATTTTCTAATCCCAGTAGGCCATCGTCGAATCCGCTCCATTCTATGTCCGGGGCGTAAAGAAGAACAAAGACAGCAAAGGGCGCCCATATGTCCATGTTGTGTCTGCTGACAGCATGGAATCCCTTACCGCCCGAATTAACGCCACAAAGGAGTATCTGGCTACCAGCCAAGCCCCCACAATCGACACCGCATACACACTGTGTCAGCGTCGAGACCACATGATATGTCGAGGCTTCGTGACAAGTGACGACAACGGTCAGCCTGCGCTATCGGATGCGCGCAGATCCCCTGCGAAGCCCCCAAGCCTGGTATTTGTCTTCAATGGGCAGGGCGCGCAATGGGCAGGTATGGCAGCCGAGCTTCTGCAGGCTTTACCCTCCTTCCGAAACAGCATAGGAAGAATGGATATGGCCTTGAGGACACTGGAGGATCCCCCATCATGGACAATCTCAGGTATAACCAATGAACCCTAGCCACCCTGGTGCAAGGGCCTATGCTAACTGACAACAATCAGAGACTCTGGCTGATGCAGCAGTCGGATCCTGGACCGGCAAAGCAGAGTTCGTACAGCCTCTGTGCACAGCCCTCCAAATTGGCCTCGTGGACCTATTCGCCGAGTGGAACATTCGGCCAACTACAGTAGTGGGCCATTCCAGTGGAGAAATAGCTGCAGCCTACGCGATGGGGAGCTTGACTGCAGAAGAAGCGATCGTGGTTGCTTTCTACCGCGGGAAGTTGGCCAGCTCACTCCCGGTTGAAGGGGCCATGGCTGCCGTTGGCTTAAGCGCCCAGGAAGTTGAAGAGTTTCTGGTGGAGGGTGCAGTAGTTGCCTGTGAGAATAGTCCTCAGAGTGTGACTATCTCTGGCGATGTGGACAAGGTCGAAGCTGTCGCCGCGAGAATCAGACTTGCGCGGCCGGAAACCTTCTACAGACGCCTTCAAGTTAATATTGCATACCATTCCCGTGAGTTTCATGCCTGTTGTATACACATCTGGGTGCTTACTGACGCTTGCGGCAAATAGATCACATGAGAGCCATTGGGGAGGAATACAGGGCCATCCTCGAAAGATACGTTGGAACTCATCCTCCCCTTCCATATTCAACAGTGAGCACAGATTTCGAGTCGGGTCCGCCTCAACTAGACGCTGCGTACTGGCAGAAGAACCTGGAGTCTCCCGTGCGCTTCTGTTCCGCGGTTGAGTCCTTACTCAGGGACGAAGAAAGTGCGGTCTTCCTCGAGATCGGGCCGCACTCAACACTGGCCGGTCCCCTCCGGCAGATCTTTTCATCTAGTCGATCGCCCGCGAATCTCGTTCACGTTTCCTCACTGGTCAGAGGAAAGGATTTGGTAGGCAGTTTGATGGCCACGGCGGGCCATGTCTATACGCTTGGTTTGGACGTCAACCTCGGTCGTGTCAACGGAACTCGGGACGAGACAGTTCTTACAGACTTGCCACTTTACCCTTGGCAGGAACGCACCTCATACTGGGAAGAAAGTAGGGTCACGAAGCGGTGGAGGCTCCGAAAATTCCCGAATCATGAGCTTTTGGGGTCGCCAATGCTAGAGGCCAGCGATTTGGAGCCTGCGTGGAGAAATATTCTGCGACTGGAGGATGTGCCATGGCTGGAAGATCACAAGGTCGGCGGTGACATTGTGTTTCCAGGTGCTGGATATGTCGCTATAGTAGGAGAAGCCATGAGAAGGATAACTGGCATCCCCCAGTATACTGTTCATCGGCTGCATATGAACAATGCTTTGCTTCTTCAAGCAGGGACTCCGGTGGAGCTTATAACCAATCTCAGGCCGGCAAAGATCACCAGCGTGTCGGACTCGGCGGCTTTTGAGTTCACAATTTCTTCCTTCGTCAACGATCACTGGACGAAGCATGCTACTGGCCTGGTAAGGGGGGGACAGTGGACACCAAGAGATGATTGTCGTCTTGGAGATTCCTTGCCTCGCAGAATCAACTCGCTCGTCTGGTACCGCGCTCTTTCCACCCTTGGCTTGACGTACGGGCCAACCTTCCAGGGTCTGGAGGATATTACGGTGGATCCGACAGGTGGCAATGCAATCGCTACAGTGAATGATAAGTTCTCGGATAGTGAGTCTTATTATCACATTCATCCCACCATCATCGACCAGTGTCTGCAGCTGATGATCCTGGCAAAATGCGGCGGTAAACCACGCAAGATCGAGCGTCCAGTGGTACCAAAGACAATCACGGAGCTTCAAGTCGCACCTGCAAGCGAAGCTCTCCGTATCCAGGTATCTGTTGGTGCAGCAGAGGGCGATGCACTTGATGGGCGCATAGTGGCCTTTTCGAATGGGGAGCCTGTTCTCCAGATGCAGGGCTGTACATTCAGTAGCCTTGATATGGCAGAAAGGGTTGACGACCTGGCGGCAGTGGAGATGAAGTGGGCTCCCCATATCGATCTCGTGCCATATCAGGACCTTTTCCAGGTGAAGTCTAGCAAGAGCAATGCGGTTTTGCTGGAACAACTCACCGTTCTTTGTGTCCTTGAGACTCACGAGCGTCTTCGATCCACCGATATTCAGATCGATCATTTTGCCAAATATAAAAGCTGGCTTGAAACGGAGACAACCCGCATTACCAATGGCGAGTACAACCATATCATTCCCGAGGCTCGTGATTGGGCAGCATTGGACCCGCAACAACGCCTTACACTCATCAAAGCAAGATCAGTGAGTGCAGTGGATAATGAGCAATCAGCGCCTCTGAGGATGGCCGTGGAATCCATATTCGAGAACATTACGGGTCTGGCGACGGGCGAGGTTGAGCCACTAGAGCTCCTGACGAAAGATAATGTTCTGTCAAACTTATACGCCTCCAAGAAGCAGATAGACTCTTTCTTCGCCACGATGGGTCACACCAGGCCTACTATTAAAATCCTCGAGATCGGCGCAGGGACTGGCAGCACAACAGCCAGAGCTCTCAAGTCGCTTGTTACTAATGCCGGCATGCGCATGTACTCGGAGTACACCTTTACCGACATCTCCCCAGGTTTTTTTGCCACAGCAAAGGAGCAATTTCAGAGCTACGAACAGGTGAATTACCGTGTTCTAGATATTACCAAGGACCCCGAAGAGCAAGGTTTCGCATCTCACAGTTTTGACCTGATTATCGCCGACAATGTAAGATTCATTTCTTCCACCCTATCACCCTTTCAATCTTGTGTGTACTGATTTATGATAATGCAGGTCTTACATGCAACGCCTTCGCTACATACCACTCTATGCAATGTTCGAAAGCTGCTTGCACCCGGCGGTAAGCTCTATCTGCAAGAGCTTTGCACAGGTGAGCTTCAATAATTGAAATGTTCTTTCTGAAGTGCCGCTCACAAAATGCCAGAGATGCTTTTTATGTCCTTCATTATGGTAAGTTGAGAAGAAACGGTTTCAATAACTTTCATTTGCTCTGTACTAATAGCATGTAAAAGGGTACACTTCCAGGGTGGTGGTTGGGCAGCGAGGACGGACGCAGCACCAAGCCCTATGTTCCCGTCCAGAGATGGGACGAGGAACTCCGGAAGGCCGGATTCAATGGAGTTGACTCCGCCGTCTACGATGATGAAGAGCCCTACCAGGTTGATGCTTACATTATTTCCTCTCCAGCGGCGGACGAAGGCGTCCCCGCCCGCTCACCGATTACCCTCCTGTATCACTCCAAGATTACCGACGCAGCAAAGAATATCGAGCGCAGCTTCATCCAGATGGGCTACGATATTTCCTGGCAAAGGCTGGGGCAGGATATGCCGACAGGGCAACTTGTCGTTTCCTTGTTGGACCTAGAAAGCCCCTTCTTCCACGAAATCAATGGCCAGGATTGGGATGCTTTCGTTGCCTATACTACCTCGACCGAGTTCGGAGGAATGGTCTGGCTAACGAAGAACTGCCAAATACACTGTACCGATCCACGCTATGCACTAGTTTTGGGAGTGGCGCGGAATCTTCGGTTCGAAATATCGGTTGATTTTGTGACAGTGGAAGTCGACCATCTTGCTTCCCAAGAAGCCACGGACGGATTACTGAAAACTGTTGCAAACTTTATCGCGCAGAAGCAGCGAGAAGGAGCGGAAATTGACCCCGAGTATGCGATCGTTAACGGTACAGCGCATGTTCCCAGATATTTCCCATATTCGCCAAGTGAGCACACAGAGGAACCGGAAGAGGGCACTGGAAGAAAGTTATTCATTGAGAAGAATGGGTCGCTCGACTCGTTGGCTTGGGTACAGACGCATACAAGAGAATTGGGCGACAACGAGGTTGAGATTCGCTTGGAGGCTATTGGGCTCAACTTCAAGGTGGGTAGAAACACCACTGGAGTGCATTGTCGACCACGCGAATTCGCGGAAACTTGAAGATGCTGACTATTCTATCTGCCTCTAGGATGTTCTCATTGCCATGGGCGTAATTCCTGGATCGAAGACCGCACTGGGACTCGAAGGGTCAGGAACGGTTGTCAGGACCGGGTCTGGTGTTACCCGAGTTCAACCAGGCGATCGAGTAATGACCGGGGCTTCAAGAGGATGCTTCTCAACCAGTGTGATTACGGCAGAGAATCTCTGTGTTCGTATTCCCGATAGCCTGAGTTTCGAGGACGCTGCCACTATCCCGAGTGTATTTTTAACCGCGATCCATTCTCTGATGGAGCTTGCCAAGTTGCAACCAGGAGACGTAAGTTTTTCTACTAGTAGTGGTCTATCTTCGGTCCCATCATGCTGACAATTTCCCTCAGTCTGTTCTCATTCAGTCGGCTTGCGGAGGCGTTGGTCAGGCCGCTATTCAGCTCAGTAAAATGATCGGGGCCGAGGTTAGTCATATAAGATACTGGGGTATTAGCTCCATATTAATGGATCTTTTGAAACTCATTATATATAGGTTTATGCCACTGTTGGGAGCGAAGAAAAAGTTCAATTCCTCATGGAGAATTTCGGAATCCCCCGATCCCGGATCTACAATTCACGAGATGCCAGCTTCGCAGATCAGGTCCTTCGAGACACCGAGGGGAGAGGAGTAGACGTGGTACTGAACTCCCTGTCTGGAGAGCTGCTTCACGCGTCTTGGCGGTGCGTTGCCAGCTTCGGAACAATGATAGAGCTTGGCAAGCGCGATTTCCTCGACTACGGAATGCTCAGTATGAACGAGTTCGCAGACAACCGGAATTTCTCCGGTGTTGACCTATCTGTGTTGATCGATCGAAAGCCGCAGGTGATCCAACGGTAAGTGGGCGTTTGGCGAAAGTGGCAGGCCCATGTACTAATCATTAAATAACACCAGGTACTTGGAGCAATGCGCAGACCTTATCATACAAGGCCATGTCAAGCCGGTCTACCCTACCCATGTTTTCCACGCAGCAGAGGTGACAAAGGCATTCAGATACATGCAAGGTGGACAGCACATTGGGAAGATTGTGGTGAAAATGCCGGAGGAGCCGAAGGAGCTACGCACAAACGTCGGTCTAGAAAGCTCACCACTCTTTTCCAGCGAGAAGGCATACCTCCTTGTCGGTGGCCTTGGTGGACTGGGTCGATCTGTCTCGGCCTGGATGATTGAGAATGGGGCCCGGTATCTGGTTTATCTCTCCCCCACTGCGCACACCAAACCCAGGACGGAAGAGGTATTTCGCGAACTTCAAGCCTTGGGTGGCAATACAACGCTGGTTACAGGAACTGTCACAAACATCGAGGACATCAGGCGGGCAGTGGAACTTAGCCCTCGACCTATCGCAGGTGTGCTACACATGCCAATGTTGTTAAGGGTAAGGCATCCTGCAAACAAATATCGATGAAGTTAGTCATTGACCAATGAATCCTTGCAGGATCGATCTGTAGTGCAGATGACAATAGACGACTGGGAGGGAGCAACCGCGCCCAAAGTGCAGGGAGCGTGGAATCTTCACCAGGTCTTTGACCACAACGTGGACCTGGACTTCTTCCTCATCTTCAGTTCCATTGTGGGCCATCAGGGGAACTGGGGGCAGACCAACTACGCTGCTGGAGGCACCTTCCAGAATGCCCTGACCCATTATCGCCGAGCTTTGGGGCTGCCGGCCAATGTCATCGATGTCGGCGTCATGGGTGAAGTGGGCTACGTCAGCGAGCACGCCGCAACCTTCCAGAAGCTGAAGGGCGTGAACCTTCTACTCTCTGAGAGCGAGGTCCTGCAATCCATCCGGGTGGTTCTCAGTCAGCACCGTGCCGCAAAGGCCGCAGGAGCTGAGAGCTCAGGTGGCATCGCCGACCTCCTTGTCGGCTACATATCCCAAACAAGGGGACTCAATGGCCTTGCCAAGGATGACATCCGAGTGAGCGTGCACCGCAACCTGAACACTTCTCGTAGGAGCGCTTTGGTCTCGGGCGATAGTCCCTTGAAACAATTCCTCAACACGGTGGCTGCCAACCCTGAGGTCTTGCGCGAGGACTCAAGCCTCGAGATTGTTACCAACGAGATTGTGAATATGCTGTGCTCCATCATGTCATTGCGCAAGGAAAGTATAGATATTACCTCCTCGTTAACTGCCCTGGGCCTTGATTCCCTGGTCAGTGTCGAAATTCGCAGATGGTGGCGGCAGAACCTTGGGCTTGAAATCAGCGTGCTGCAAATCTCCTCGCTGGGTTCCGTACAGCAGCTAGGAGTGCTAGCCATCGATGCACTTCAAGAGAAGTACCTAGGAGGTGAGGGACAGCACCCTTCTGCTGAGAAGTAAAGTTTGTCCGCCGAACATGCATCCCTCCACGCCTGATTCAGGAATAATGAACCAGACGACATCCTACTAGGCGTTTACGGCATGGATGGCAGACATGTGTGAGGAGATCACTCCGCAGCAATTGGACCTTGAAGAAGTGGTCAGTATAGAATGAACATACAGAAACTCGGGAATTGAAAACAAATAGAAAAAGATATAATCAAAGAACAACCATTCTCTTTGAAAGCAGGTAGACCACAACCAAGATTTGGTTTTTTATTAAAAGTCTTCTCATATGATGGAGTACATTTGTGTTACTAGTCACGTGAACGCGAGCTATTGATGACTAATGTAAAACTAAGTTGCGGGAAGCCACACGCGACACGCGACGGGGTCAGAAATAACTGCAACAGTGTCAGACCGGAGCTGGAAGACAGTTCGGTCATATCAGAGAAATTTTGACCCTGAATTAACTTATGTACATGATATGATACTGTGTCTGATACTGAGTTAGCTCTGTATGTAATAGGATATTTCCTTCAAGAATAAATGAATAAGTCAATGATAACCCACACAGTCAGCATAGGCTGAAGTAACTATATATACAGGGTGTGGTATCTTCGCCTCTATGTCACCGCTATTAATCCAAACAATTCTTATCTTCAAAACCCCGAAGGCACTTCACCCAATTCCACGATTGATTGCGCCAAAGTATTTAGTAGATGGTTTGTTGTTGTTCATAAAGTCATGCTTGATACTGCCAAGAGAAGGAGCAGCTGGGATCGCCGTAGAATAAGTTCAGCCCGAAATGTCGTGCGAATTGACCGAGTTAAACAAGTAGAAAATAGTCAGTCCCGTCTCTGATGTCTTCAGCTTATTGGAGATACGTCACATGCAGACAGACTCAGACGGGTCAAGTTCCGCATACTCGGCTTGTTGCCAATGTGCCAGGCAGATCTTCTCTATACAGAAAAGGCTGCAGACATATATTTGATACAGCATATGCATTGCAGTAAGCAAATGGCACTAGATTAAAATAGCAGAACCACAGCAAGTAGTGAAGGGGTAAAATCAGCAGTAGTTATTAGGATTATGTAAAAATGTAAATACCTAATGAAAGAGCGAGACAGGATCTACATTGGACGAGAAACAGATAAGAAGCACCAAGCTTGGATAATTGAGGGATGTTGCTCGAATTCTACTAAACAGATATTGAATTCCTTTCTCTCCCCCACTACATTTAGATTCAATGTTCAATTCATATGTTAGGAAGTTGTCATTGCCGTGCGCGCCCGGGCCGCAAGGCCGAGTATACGGTCCCGCCCTTTCGCAAGGTACCCCCGAATGCGGAATTCTGTCGGGGAGGATATCCGGGGCAAGAAACGATCGGCATCCCGGCGGACCCTGGCGGCCATTGCCGGGCGGATGCCAGGGCTTATGCCAAGATAATTATAGGATGTCGTTATGTCTTTAATTGATTCTTCACTGCTCGTTCAATGTATGATCCTCGTTTATTGAGAAGCGTTGACGACAATGTCATGTCAAATTCTGTGCTCGGCGTAGTCTCCGAAAACCAAACGCTTGCTTTATCTCCGAAGTAGGCAGTCTCCGGAATAGCCGATAAATACGGGGACAACACCAAAAAAGGCCGATAAGTCAATCTATTCCAAGGCCTCAGAATTTCACAAGGAGCAGAAAGTAAGCCCACAATATATATTGCTCCCTATACCCATTTACCTTTTCAGGTACAATCTGCAGTAGCTTGCCCGCGACTGCCGGGGATTGAAAGCTATCAGTTTCCACTACCCTAGCATAGCTTCTTCAACATGCAGCACACACTTTTCCAGATCCACTTCGTTTCACACCACAGCCTCGTTACTCAGTTCATCCAGTATAAACACCGGGATTTGCAAATATCGAAGCCCAGTCCCAGATGGCGACTGTAAGGGTACGCGGTTGGGATAAGATCTTCGCCGTTGCGGGGCCGTCCCCGCGGGAAGCCATTATCTCCGAGGCTGCAATATACTTTAAGCTTACGCGTATGAGAAAGATCGCCGGAGCTTCCTCCATCGAATATCTGGTTGCGACATTGGACACATCATCACCATCGACCCGACCACGGAAGGGACGCAATCTCTGTATGAACATAAAATGAGAGCGCCCTCGCCCATAAATCCTATCAACTACACTCCGCTCATCATACAGCAAAAGAAAGTCACTCCCTTAACTACAAACCTTGTCGCTCTTTGAAAATTCCATTCATTTGACTTCAATTCTTCTACCATGCACTTCCTATCTCTCGCAGCACTGCCTTTTCTGGCGTCGGCAGCCACGGCAGCGCCGACCTGCAACCGCTCCCACTTAAACAGCACCGTCGGTCTCTACACCGTCCAAGAAGGCGACACCATGGCCAGTGTCTCCAATTCCGTAAACCGTGGAATCTGCGATATCGCACGACTCAACCGCATGGCCGATGCCATGATCCCCTTCCTGACAGGAGAACAGCTGCTCATTCCCCCGGAGACCTGCACACCCGACAACTCCACATGTCTGCTCTTTCCTAGCCACAACGACAACTACGCCGACTGCGTTTCCGGTGGTCCTCACACATACTACACCGTGAAGGGTGACACTATCCGCACCATCGCCCTGAGGCTGAACATCACTGTCGACGCCCTCTCCGCAACCGCTCAGGGTGGAGTCAGTGATCCTGACGCACTGGTGCAGGTGAACAATGAGCTGAAGGTCCCTCAGTGCAGTCCTAGTGTGTGTGAGGTTGAGCCGTATCAACTTATTTATGGCACCTACAAGGATCTAGCCGACAAGTATGGCTCTACTGTGGGCCAGATCATGGCGTTCAACCCGACTTATAATCACTCGGATGTAGCTAGGGGTGAGGGTGCCGTTATTACTTTGCCCAAGAACTGCAGGAACTTGGGTGATAATGTTACTGTTATTTCTTAAGGAACAGATTTGGTCGGTGGTCCTGTAGGGAGGATGGGGGTGTGATAGGGTGTGTTTGTACATATTGTTTGTACATACTGTTTGTACTATATTGTCTTTCTTGGTAGAATATTTATTTAGACTGTTGATTCAGTTCGTTGTGGGGGCCATTTTCGCTGTCACCATTGTGCTGCTACGTCTTTCCTTGTTCATGATAACTTAGCAGTGCTAGAGAGTTTGGTATAATTGGCCGGAAAGCGGCCAGCCAAAAAATAAATAAATAAATAAAAATAAAAGCTTACTGGAGAGCCTTTTAAGGTTACACCACGGGAATTACCGTATGGGAGTGATTAAAGTGTGCTTTTCTTTCTATTCATTCATTGCCGGAGTCTAACAGTGCCATTCACGGCTAGAACCATACATCCAATCCCAACACTAGTAGCTGATCTTAACAAGAATGACCCAGAGTAGCGACTTAACATAAGCAACTTGTGACTAGCAACGCCGCTCAATCGGAACGATACAATATCCGCCTCCTATACCGAACTTCAATGAGGAGTGTTAATGTATTGATCCAACGACATGCCAGTATCGCAATCAACGGTCCGTGGGCATCGGATATCTATCCTTCGGAGGAGTAGATATATATCGGCATTCCAAGCAAACAACATGAATGCAGCGATTACTTATGCCAACGCCTTCGCCTATTACGGAGGGTGGACCACTGCATACATAGTGACGCACGATGTTGTCCTGTCCACATTTACAGCAGGTCCACCCCCTATCACACATGTCCTTTGTCACACAACCCTCTCGACTACAAAGTGCTCCAATAGTGGTAAAGTGGCGCGTGCTGTGCTCGGAGCACGGTGCACATCGTCTGCTGCCTGGCACTGGGCGTGCTTTTGGGCAGTAGGTGGTGATGGATTGCCAGACGTGGCCACACGGTGAAATCTGATGGATGAGTAACACATTGTGCTGGCCTTTTGCGAATAGTATCAGCTGTGGACGGGATTTGCCAAAACTGCACCTGCGCTAGTAATTCCGATAGTGGGTGTGTTGATGTTGGTACTTTGATTAACTAGGCAGGATAAACATTTATACAGCAATCGAGTGAGAAGAATAATGATCTCTCTTGCATTATTGTCGGAATATCCCGAAACAGGATTTTGATCGTAATAAGGTGGCTGCCGATCACGAGGAGGCATTTACCGCAACAGTTACAGTTATAATCTTCTTCAAGAGTTCTGGCCGCTGCTAGCCTATGGTGTGGTTCTGAGCACTTCACCGAAATAAATGAGTCAGAGGTGTGTAGAAGAAGGACTATAAATAAGTGTACAACAACCTTCTCCTGTTTGAGTAAGTGGTTGTGGTCGCCAGGTTGTACATTCCACCGAAAGTGAACACATTGACTCGCCCGGTCGCCATTCAACAACCTAAATGCTTTCAAACCGCCGCTCTTGCATACCAATCACTCTTTGCACCAATGGTTTCTGGTCAGCATATAGGACCCAAAATGACAGCCCCAAGTCCCGTCTGGGCAGTCCAGGACATCGTCTATGGTAAACATGATATGTGGGCGGAGCTCGACATTGCATGCAAAGGCAAGCGTTTTTCGAATAGAGATTTCCCCCGAGAACTTCGTCAACTCGCAGACATCTTTCAGCAAGTACGCGCGATATATTAACGACATGTTTGACCGAGACTGCAAAACCACATACGATGAATTCTATGACTGGGTTGTAGCTCCATTCCTTCCTATTCTTGCTGAAGTTCAAGCATCGCCATTGGATGGAAGAGCTTTCACACTTCGTGATTACCTCGAACCGGAAACATATTACTTGCAGCTTTACTTCGTCGATGAGAGGATGGAACCCCGGTTCGACTATGATGTTCAAATGCCGCTACGCGAACCGGGCGTTTACATAGGCGACGTGGCCCTTCACCCCGGTTGGAGCGAATACACACCAGAAACAGTACAACAGTGCCTCAGCGACGGTCAATATGGATATTCTAAGCACCCAAGGAAGGTTTGTGTCGATGGAAAGTTATGTTTCTTCAAGAAGCCCCGCAGCAAGCGAGAGCTCCTCCGTGAGTTGGACGTGTACGAGAAAATGGAAAAAAAAAAAAAAAGGACTGAGCAACAATTCGCAAGTACGTGTACCTCGGCTTATCGGTGTGGTATATGCTGGTCAGCACTGCCGTCATGCTATCGGTATTTTGTTATCGTTGGTAGACTGCGACAATCGTACCCTTTCATGTGCACTACATGGTGAAGTCGCAATTGCGCAACGGAGGAAATGGGAGGAGCAAATTACTACGACTGTGGAATTATTGCATGAGGCTGACATTATTTGGGGAGACGTAAAGCCGAACAATGTGTTGATAGACAGGAACGAGGATGCATGGGTGATCGATTTCGGTGGTGGATACACGCCAGGATGGGTGGAGAAAGAGCACATGGAGACAATAAAAGGCGATAGAGATGGCCTTTCGAAAATCAAGGATAGAATATACTCACACGATGGCAGCGAAGAAGGGGGAAGAGCCTCACAAGGAGATGGGACGTATTAGAGAGGGATGAATCGATTTTGAGCGGGATGTCGATTCGATTAAGATCCAGAAATCTACTAGAGGTGTAATGTTCTCATTGACACCCTCTAGCATGTCTCTGGTCATTGACTACTAAGAGTCAATAGTAGTAGGTAGTTCAATTCAAATCAACATGATTACTAAGTTGATTCAGCTAATTCGGCTACGGTGTGTGAGCTGTCATAATGCCACCTCGTTTCAAATTGAGACCCGAGAAGGGTGCTATTCAACGTGAATACTGAGTCTCTTCTATTGAGTACGTCCAGCAATGAAGGTATCTACTTCACTCTGCCAGCGGTGCAGAGTCCTCCAGTTCAATGACGAGGAACACGGGACTGTGGAAAAATGCAGAACAGGCGAGCACCAGGTTATCTTTGACAAATATGATCCGGAGGGGGCGAGGTGTGAGGAGATGGAGCTTCGAAGGCAAACCATTTTCCTGGATTATGATCTTTTCGACAACTTTCCTGATCTTCCTGCCTTGTCGGCCTCTAGTGCATCCGCATGTGGCATGTGCTTTGCCATGCGTGAGAAGATAGTCCAACTCCAACGCAAGGCAGATAACAAGATCTTGCACGTGGGAACGCCCAGAGTTCTGGGATTATATTGATACGACTACCATTACGTTGGTGTAGCGGGGTATTTGGGAAATATATATTCACAAGGTGGAGGATATATAACATGACTGAAGTCATTGCTAAGAAGAAAAGGCGATCAGAACCCCACCTAACGTATTGAGAAATTCACTCCAGCCAGGGTCAGCTGATCTTTCGGCTCTCTGATCACAATCTCCTTTAAACCATCCACCCCACTCTCTTGAGATCTAGATAGATCAAATGCATTTCTTTATTTCCCTTGACAGAAAGTGCCATTCATAGTCATAAGTGATGAGGTAGTTCTCGCCAAGCCGGCCTCTGTAACCAGAATCCTATCCATTGTATTTATTACCAGCAGGAAAAAGCTGTCTACCGATCCATTGCCACCTTTCTTTCGGAAAAAGATACTATACTCAACTGGACCGAGAATATACCTACCAGTGCCTTCTGTGATGGCTGGTCACCTCACCGACCTCGACTAATAGGTGTACTGCATAACAAGACCTATAAGTAATGCCCGTTCTAGACTACCGGGATTATAATAACAGTCAGTATATTACCTCGTTAAAAATTCTCAAGTCTTGGCGCAGTGAGTGCCACTTATTCTTGGATCTTTCTGATAATCAGGAAATGGCATGGTACCAAATGTATACACTTATGGGAATTGAGGAGGAACAGGCCTACCCGAGCGTTATCAGCTGCCAAAGTGGCTACTGACCTTCCTTTCCGTGGCCGATGTAGTGAGTCCACCAGATAGCAACTTAGGCCAAGAGAAGTAAACACAATGCGAGAGCATGGAAGAGACTACTTGCTACTCCGTTTGAACTCGGAACGCTGTGTGCTACGCAACAATATGGCACTAAGGAGAAACATGAAAGCCTAGTGGCTCATGGTCCAGCAATTTTCCGGCTGTTAGTGATAAAGCAAGGAACCTCTTAGAAGCCCGGATACTCAAGCTACAAAACCGGTTATGGCTCGATGTCAAGATGGCGTGCGAAGTATATTGGAGATAATTTCCGTGTGTTATTAGCCAGGAACGGCTATAGAGAGCGAAAACTAGGAAATGATAGGACCAGGAAATCCATCTCGCCACGTTATCGGAAAACAAGACAGACCGGACATGTGGGTACTACTGTGCTCCATTCCCCAGAATGTAACTGAAGTACACGCTAGCTGGGATTCCGATAGGCACACGGATAGTATGAGTTTCGATGAGTTTCTATGGACTTGCGAGATTGAGGTGAAAATCCTTTCATTCTACAGCAGCGGACTCTCCCGACCCTGCTCGATCAACCGTGGCTATTCTACCTTCATTGGAAAACCAGCCATGTTGTCTTTCACCGACACCAGCAATGCGTCGTGTGTCTCTTATATGGCGGTTAGATGTCTGCCCAAGATGATTCTACATCTTGGGTTTCAGTACAATCTTTGTGTAACTTTGAACTGTGTTACTGGGTCCGCAGCACCGTCGGAGTCGCTCGACTATCCCGGAAACGGCAATGATGGCCTCCGTCCGACGCGTCGGCCATGACCAGGGCCCCCTGTTCAATGGGGCTTGGCGACACGCTATAATCTTATGGCTTGCCTTGGGCGATGCTTGATGCTGCATTAGCACAATTTGGGCTTAATGGACATCGGGCGCACAGCAAACAGTGCCACGATCTGTCTCAGTGAAAGCCAGGTGCACGTATCCCGAGGTGTGTAGTGTATGATAGACAGTTCTTAGTTACACAAGTGGGGATTAGCGTCCAAAGCAGGATCTTTAGTTGGCTAGCTGAACCGTGTTACTGTGTTGGCCTTTCTGTTCAAACCATGCTGCTAGTGGCCGAACCGAGGAAGTTACTCAGTTAGATTAAGAGTAAGATGTGGCTTTGTTGTACACGATAGGTTCGGATGTATGCCCCATTATACCACGCCTGCATGCAAAGTTCCCTTGTAGCAAATACGTATTTACATCACAAATGAATTAATGAACGATTGTGTTCACCGTGAAGCATACTGTGCGCTGAGCGCCACGACAGATATGTTGTCAGAATCCTGAAAACCAGCTGAGGCTACTACGAAGCGCGCAGGATGCGCAACTGCGACGGTGCAGATCGCCCCGAGCCTTGTACTGCGCGGATTTCTACCAGTAGGCTGCTCGGCTTCCGACACCACCTCGGTCGTAATCCCACCAGAGAGCCGAGACGAGGGCGTGGGATATGACTTTCTTGAAGCCGAGACACCGGCATGCATATGGACAGCATATGTTACTTGACTCGCATGCGACGAATAACGCAATGGATCCGAATATCATATGATAATGTACGCCGCAGGCGGAACCGGTTTGGATGTCTGCGTGGATGGGAGGGGGATGATGCACTGTGGGTCGCAACTCACTCAATGAGAATGGCCGATGAAATACTTTGTTGCGGTCCACCGATTTAGTGCGATGGAGGGAGCGGGGACGAGAAACGCGGAGCACCAAAAGGAAACATGATTACGGAAATGTTGTTCCTCCCACTCGAGTCTCGACTTATCTGCGAATAAGACTGCGTGGGATGATTGATGTACTCACCTATGGTCTCGAAGGCGTTGACAGGAATATTGTCCATCTGACCAGAGCGAGAATCGGCGGCTATAGAAATTATCCGGACCATAATGTGCGTGAACTTTGTTGAGACGTATCATACTTCTTCCCCTTGACGCGATGCCGTTCCTTGGGTCGACATTAGGTGTGGCGTCGGGTTGCATCGGGAGGCCGGGATGCGAGGCCAGGCGGCACAAGGGAGACGGAATAGCTGCATGGTTTCAAGCCGATAGAGGTTGGCCGTGTACGGATTAGCTTCGCAGCCAAGAGGCTAGACACCGATTTGCAAGGACCGACCCGATATCATCCCCAATACCATGAGGGATGGCATCTGGCAGCGACCACATGGACCATGACGTTGAGGAACGATATCAAAGCGTAAAGTGACGTTGTCAGTTGACACGCGAGCTGAGCCCTGCGTCATGGTGGAGGAGAAGGATATTGGAATTGCTGTGGAGGGACGCGGAGAAGGGACTGGGGAAATGTAGGGTGAAGGAGACGGATGTGGACTACTGTTGTTAGTAGCAAAACTACTTACTTTGGACTGTGTAGGATCCGGCCGGAGAAGGGCGGCAGAAATGCAGGCAGAAACCAGTTGGCCGCCTGACTAGACCTAACTAGGAGTAGTACCAGGGGAATACTGCAATATTATTGGTGGTGAGTAAAGAGATTGGTGACGTCATGGCTCACCGCCAGCCCCGGCCGACAAAAAGTCGTGCCGATCGGGTTAGCCTGAGCAGGTGACCGTGCATTGCTTTTGCATCTTGTACTACAACGGAGCGTGTCTACTCCACAGCCTGTCGCGAAGTCCAGGGAAACCGCCTGCATGGCCACTTTCTGAGCCATTCGGAAAATCCTGTCCTGTACCTTGAGCCTGGCACATCGGGCTGCACCTCGGCCGTGTGGTATCTGTCTCTCCGATCTTTTCCCGCCTCGAAGGAAACCGACCCCAGTGGTCGCCACGCAATCAGTACTTTCACACAATCACAGTAACCCCAACACTTCCGATTTGAGTGCATATCCTTTCGCCGCCGTGGCCAATTATACGGAATTCTATGTGGCTAATACAAAGTACCCTTGTACTTAGCATGATGGTCTAAGCTGAATAATTTAGGAGTCCCCGCCTGTGATTGGGGACCCCAGTTCCTGGTCTGACGGGCTGGAACTATGACGCCAGCGAGGGGAGAAGATCTCTTCCGCCGAGCCCCGACTGCCATCGTTATCAGGCTTCTTTAGCGAACGGCTTCTCGGATTACCTTTTTGAGATATCCTTCCTTTGCCATTTGCTAATGAGACCCCCATGGGTAAGCCCTCACGTCATGCCACTGATGGCAGAAATCGGCTCCGCACTTCAGGGTACCAGGTGCCTCGGAGGAAGAATAATGTATCGGGGTGCAGGAGAAGTGCCTTCCACAAGGGATCAGTGATCTATAAAGATCCCTCACATCCCATCTGGCAATCAATCGTCACTCCAGCATCATCCTCGGTCCAATCAACCTCCTCTCCCTCTCACCTTCCCAAAACACTGATTGGTCTTCTCTATTATCTTTATTTAACCGTCTCCACCCCGCATGACAAGCGTTCTCATACTGTCCTAAGGTGCGCCTTATAATCCATCATCATGACGGCCACTGAGCCCACGCCGCACAACGGTGCCCCTGCCGATCAGAGTATGTATGACGAGAAGAAGTCTGGCAAGACAGACGATGCTCTCAGAACCCTGACCCGCCGATCGGAATCGGACGATCCCTTCGCCCAACAGGCAGAGCATGCCTCGCAACCAACATCTGGAAGCGACACCGATCTGTCCAAGAAAG